GACCGTGGCGGTCAGCAGGGCGGCAGTCTCTCCTAACCTCTGCAGTGCACGGCATGCCTTGCTTTGCTCCACCGCTGGGTTTCTCCTCGGGAGCCTCTGGACCTAGCTGTTCTCCCTGTACCCCCTTCATCAATTCGATATTCCTCTCTTGCTCCATAAGCCGGGGTCCCATGTGTCCCTCCCCTCGGTGCTGTCGTCTGTCTCCTTACTTTCTCTGCATGTCCCACTCTTTCCTTCAGATCTTTCCTGGGTCCTGCGGACCCACTGCCTCCTTCCTCTCCTCCCCAAGTTGTTGTTCTCCAGGGTCTGGAGTCTGAATCTTGGAGAGGTGGATTTGTTGCTGCTTACCACTGCACCATCTTCCTGGGAGGTCCTCTGGCTGTATGTGAGTGGCAGAACGAGATAAGAAGCTTGTCTGTGTAAGGGCGCTGATCTCATTTATAAGAAATTCTGATTCAGGATTTCATATAGTACTAATTATCTACTTCAAAGCAAGATTTTCATGCTATCACATATCGTTTAGTGTCATCGCATAAGAATTGAGGAAAGGGATAAAAACAATCACTTTATACAAGAGAATGTTCTTAGATGGGAGGTAATTGTAGAATGTGTCTCCTTCCTAAAAAGATCTGTGTTCTCTATGCAGGTTTATGCCCAACAACTACCAGACTGTTTTAGCCTTCATTTTTGCCATTGAAGAAATCAATGCAAATCCTCACCTTTTAACCAACGTGTCATTGGGATATGAGTTTCATAATTTTCTGCATGGTCATTGGAGGATACTACAGAATTTCCTCATCTTGTATGCAGGGCAGGATGAAATCCCCAATTTCAACTGTAAGAGAGAGAGCAAGTCCATCGCATTATTTACAGGAACGTCCTGGGAAACAGCTGCTCAAATTGGGGCACTGATGGAGCTCTACAAATTTCCACAGGTCTGGGAGAATGGGCTGGGGGGAGATGAAACGGAGTTGTTTAGTGTCATTCTGGGGCCCCTAAAGTTAATGAAAAGAAGAGATTTAGAAGTATTTCTCCAAGGGTCTAGCCTCATGGGAGAATACCCTGAGATATGAGGAATTCTTTTTTTTTTTTTTTTCACCAGCAGCGTCAGCATATAGGGGAGAAAGGAAGGAAAGCAGAAAAAGAAGTTCCCTGTAATTCTGTGTGTCTTCGGTTATTTTATAAAAAGCATTTTGTGAGTGAGATGATTAGAAACATAGCAATGGTAATATTACTCCATGACTCTCCCAAATGTGCCACAGTTGGGGGGTGTGAAATTCTGTTTTATATCAACTTTATTCATATTGTTTTTAACTTTCTTTCCTCTGTAGCTGACCTTTGGCTCTTTCGACCCCGTACTGAGTGACAGTGGCCAGTTTCCCTCTCTCTATCAGGTGGCCCCCAAGGACACGTCTCTGGCCCTTGGCATGGTCTCTTTGTTGACCCATTTCAGCTGGACCTGGGTAGGAATGATCATCACAGAAGGTCAGAAAGGGCTTCAATTTCTCTCAAATCTTAAAGGAGAGATGGACAGGAACAGAGTCTGTGTGGCATTTGTGAAAATCATTTCAAATACTATTTTGTCAGCTGTATTATACGCCCAGCAACATAATTTTCTAACCAGGGAAACGTCACCTGTTAATGTTATTATCATTTACTATGATAGTGACAGTGTCAATACCATCAACTATAATATAGACCAACTTTTAGTGACATGGAGAGTCTGGGTGACAAACTCACAATGGCAGGCTGACGTGTCTGGGAAAAACTTCATACTGGGCTCATTCCATGGCGCTGTCACCTTTTCACACCACCGTGAGGAGATTTCTGGTTTCAAAAATTTTATCCGGACTGCTACCCCTTCCAAATACCCAGAAGACACGTACCTTGCTCTGCATTGGTTCAATAATTTCGAGTGCTCAGTATCTGACTCTGACTGTGCACTGATGGACTGTATGCCCAATGCCTCTCTGGCGTGGCTGCCCGCGAGTCGTTTTGACCCAGCCATGAGTGAAGAGAGTTACAACGTGTACAATGCAGTGTACGCAGTGGCCCACGCCCTCCAGGAGATGCTTCTGCAGCAAGTGCAGATGCAGTCAGTGGGCCGTGGAGAGAAGATGGCATTTTCACCCTGGCAGGTAATGTCTCTTCTTCTGCGAGACAGCTAATATGTTTTCTGAAGGTACTCAAGTGGTTACTCGCATAAGTAGCTTAGAATTACATCTAAAGAAAGTGTGACAAGGCCTGTACTAGCTTTACTATCAAGGTTAATCACGTAGACCTCGTCATCAAAAATGAGTCCAACTGGTAAAGAGAAAATTGGATATGACTTGAGATCAATGTTTAATTTTCCGAAGGAAATCAGCAACATCCTCCCTCAATGTTTTTCATAAGAGAGAGCAAAGATTTCCCATGAACTTTTTCAAACATAATGGGAAAGGATGTACTTTTTAGGTAGCTAAATGGTGGCTACTTTGTGTGAATTTTCTCATTTAATTTTGCAAACACTTTTTGTGCCGACCTTGTCATTTTGCAGGTCAGTATTCTGAGAACCATCAGACAGAAAATAGCTCTTGGGAACTTCGATTCCAAGGTTGAGTTTTACATAACAACCATTTATTTGATTGATTTGAATGATATCCATTGATTGAAGTATTTTTCTTGATAGTCACTGACATTTTTTGAACATTGTGATATTTTCATATGGACTTTTATTTGTTTTACCTCAGTGAATACGAGTGTTAAAGTTGCACTACAAAACGTGATTGCCAAGTCTTTCCCTCATTCAGGGCTCTGGTCTCGCTACTTGGGCACGGGTCATTGGGCCATGATGCTTCTTTTTCAGCTTCACCCCTTTCTGAAGAATGTCCACTTTAACAATCCTGTTGGAGACCACGTGAAACTGGATGACAGAAGAAAACCAGATGCACAGTATGACATTGTCAATCTTTGGAATTTTCCAGAAGGCCTTAGACTTAAGGTCAAAGTAGGAAACTTTTCCCCACATGCTCCCCAAGGGCAGCGGTTATCTTTATCTGAGGACCTAATAGAATGGGCCGTGGGAATTGCAGAGGTATGTGGTGTGTAATCAGAAGCTGTATTAACCCAAAATGACTGCATTCCTTTGGTAGCATTTGTGCCCCTGTATTGCTCAAGAAATGGACATGTGTGGAAATTAGCAAACGTGCCTTTAATTTGAAACAATTTTATTATTGAATTTTCCGATGAATCACACAGCAACATATGTATTCAGTTATATTTTTGTAAATGCTCCTATGCTTATCACTCGGTGTACATGGCATCTCCTTGCATACCTGGTTTTGTGTGTGTATAAATATTCATTTGCTCACTATAATTAGGAGGAATAAGTCAAAAGTTGCAGAGGTCACTGACACACATGTGGTTTTCCTCAGACTCCGCACTCCGTATGCAGTGAGAGCTGCAGTCCTGGATTTAGGAAAACCCCTGAGGAGGGAAAACCTGCCTGTTGTTTTGGTTGCACCCCTTGCCCAGAGAATGAGATTACAAATGACACAGGTATGTGCTTGGACATTAAATTAATAATTCAGGAATCACTAAAAGATAATTGACTTCATGAGTTAGCTCAGAAGTGCGTTGTGAAAGGAAACTGCAGTTAAAAACATAATCACATGGGACAACAATGTTCATTGCAGAGTAAAGAAGAGGTCCCAAGTCGATCCCTGGTACAAAAAAAAATGATTTGCACTATAATTGAAACTTTTCCCTGCATAATATTTATTAATTTTCTAATAATAATTTCTTAATATCTCTAATGTCTAGAAACAAAACAAAACAAAAGACTATTTGTCTTAACTATTCCATTTAGTTTTACTCAGTCAGGATTTGAGTAAGAGAAACCTGAACTTGAACTAACAACAGTTTGCATTTCTCACTAGATATGGAAAAGTGTGTGAAGTGTCCAGATCACCAATATGCCAATGTTCAAAGAAATTATTGCTTCCAAAAATCCATAACTTTTCTGGATTATGGAGACCCCATAGGGAAGATGCTGGCTGGCTCGGCCCTGAGTCTCACCGTCCTCACAGCTGCTGTTCTTGGGCTCTTCGTGAAGCACCGAGACACTCCCATTGTCAAGGCCAACAACAGGGCTCTCAGCTACACCCTGCTCATCTCCCTCACCTTCTGTTTCCTCTGCTCCTTGCTCTTCATCGGCCGGCCCAACACAGCCACCTGCATCCTCAGGCAGACCACATTTGGAGTTGTGTTCACTGTGGCTGTTTCCACCGTCCTGGCCAAAACGATCACCGTGGTGCTGGCCTTTAAGGTCACTGCTCCAGGCAGGAGGATGAGGCAGTGGCTGGTGTCCGGGGCACCTAACTCCATCATCCCCATCTGCTCCCTGATCCAACTCACTCTCTGTGGAGTCTGGATGGGGACGAATCCACCCTTTGTAGACACAGATGCACACTCGGAACATGGCCACATCATCATCGTGTGCAACAAGGGCTCCCTCACTGCCTTCTACTGTGTCCTGGGATACCTGGGCTCCCTGGCCCTGGTCAGCTTCACCGTGGCTTTCCTGGTCAGGAACCTGCCCGACACCTTCAATGAAGCCAAGTTCCTGACCTTCAGCATGCTGGTGTTCTGCAGTGTGTGGGTCACCTTCCTCCCCGTGTACCACAGCACCAAGGGGAAGGTCATGGTGGCCATGGAGGTCTTCTCCATCTTGGCCTCCAGTGCAGGGCTCCTGGGCTGCATCTTTGCACCCAAGTGCTACATTATTCTGTTAAGGCCAGAGAGAAATTCTCTGCATGGATTCAGAGATAAATCACGTTCTGGAGGAAAAAAGTCTTATCAAGTTAAAAATAGGTTTGCCTAAAATACGTGAAAAGTCTAAGGCAGAAGTACAACATTTTTGCACTTAGATATTAGATTACTAGAGGGGGTGTAATTCAATGAATAACTGACTACTTTCACTAATAGTTTTCAAGCCATTACTATGTCATATTCTCTTTACTGATTATCATTTATTCTGGATTTTTTCATTTCTCCCATTAAATTTGTAGTCTATTGTTCTTTACTTAGATCATAATATTCATTTTTGTATGTTTCACTGGCTTTCTCACTCATTTTAATCATTTATAACATGATAAATTTTGTCTGGAGACAAGTATATGTTTACATTTTCTAATACAATTCATGTATTGTTTTTTGTCTTTCAATTGTTTAGTGCTTATAATATGCAGATTATAATAGAGTTTTCAGTGAAGCCAAGTTCCTGACCTTCAGCATGCTGGTGTTCTGCAGTGTGTGGGTCACCTTCCTCCCCGTGTACCACAGCACCAAGGGGAAGGTCATGGTGGCCGTGGAGGTCTTCTCCATCTTGGCCTCCAGTGCGGGGCTGCTGGGCTGCATCTTTGCACCCAAGTGCTATGTTATTTTGTTGAGGCCAGAGAAAAATGCTCTGTGTGAATTCAGGCACAGAGCACATTCTGGAAGAAAAAAGAATTTAAGTTAAAAGTATGTTTTTCCCAAAATGCATAAAGTATCTGATGGAAATGTGCACCATTTTTATAGTCAGATATCAGAATAGAAGATGGAATGTACTTCAACGAAAATTTGACTGTTACTTAAGTCTCGGATAGTTGTAAAGTTTCTACCATCTAAAGCAGTTATCTTTGCACAATGACTTTTATTCTTGAATTTTTTTCTTCTCATTAAATCTGCAGTCAACATCAACATTTGTGACAAATTTTGCTTTATTTCTCATTTTTGTGTATGTTTCCTTTGGTTTTCTCAATCATTTTTATTAGTTTTATATGCTAATCTTTGACTGTAGATCACTACATTTCTGAATTACCAAATAAATTTACTGTGTTTTCTCTTCAAGGAGTAACATGAGTTTGTAATTCTTGTTTTACTATGTTCAAAAACTCATTGTTTATTTCTCTGCTCACATTGACAGTCAATGTATTGAAGCTATGCAGACCTTTCTACCCTTGTGTTGACTGCCTGGTAGTATGTTATAATAAATACTCTTCAGTGTCATAAAACCTGCCAGCATGTCACATCCTCTCCAGGACCGGGATTCTTGACCTTGGAAGAAACAACTTAGGAAAGGAAGAAGGAATTGAAGTTCAGGGGACAAAGAAAGAGCCAACAAGAAAGCTAGAAAATACAGAGAAATGGCAGAAAGTGAAGACAGCACAAAGAAAAGAAGGAAATAGGTTGCTATATTTACCTCCCTGGTGGGGCAGACACAGAGGTGACAGAGTCAGAGACAGATGCAGACAGACAGACAGACGGATGGACCTTTACATGACAAGTTTTGGTTCTCATTTTTTTCCCCTTTTCCGTGCCCTCCCTTCACCCCCTCCTCCCCTCCCCTTTTACCAACAATTTATTTCCATTTTTTCATTTTCTCATATTTTTTTCTTTTCCCTTATTACCTTTCCCCACCCTTCACATTTTCCCTACGCCTTTAGCCCTTTTCTTCTTATTTCACACGGTCAATTATCTCATTAGGATGTTATGTACTCTTATAGTTTTTCACCCCTGAGAAACTATTCGGTATTTACACGTGTGACTTATTTATTTCACTTGGGAGTATATCCTCAACATGTATCCATTTTCCTATGTATGAGTCTAATTTCTCCTCCTTTATGGCTGAGTAGTATTCCATCTACAGCCACTCTCTTCGATGGAGCCCAAATGGGCCATTAAATCAATAGGCTGCAAAAGGGGACCCAGCTCCTCCAGGATTACCATTGACCTCGGGAAGGTGTAAACCCCAAAATTCCTGGGCACAGACATGGTACCAGCTGTGGTGAGCTGAATTCACAAACACTCTTTAGCTATTTAAAATCAAACCTTGCCTTGGCAGTCAAAGACAATAACATGTACAGGCTGGACAGGAGGCTGTGTCTTCGGGGATGAAATCATTGACATGGGGCAGGGTTAGTTGTCTGAAAGGAGTGTGCCGACACATGTTCCAAGTGCACGGCACTTATGCTGTATACCCAGTTTGCAATAGGCAGTCTTTTATGCCCAGCCTGTGAGCCCATGGACTGAAAAATAGCATCTCACTCCCTCAAAAATGCCATTGTGCCAGGAAAGGTGTAATAGTCGGAAAGTCGTGTGCACAGACACGGTTCAGGCTGTTGCAGTCTGCATTTCAGAAATGCTTGCTGCCTGTCTTAGAGGAACTCTTGTATTGGTAGCCAATGGGCCATTTCAGGGACAGGCTGAAAAGGAGGGAGCAACCCCAGCCTCATGACATGCTGTCACCATCAGCTATATAATCAGGCAGCACATGAGCAATGTAGAAAAATAAACACAGAGCAGAACTCAACCCTACAAATGAGAGAAGAAAGAAGTCACAGCTACAGTTGCAAGACTGTATTCCTTAAAATCCTAAGAGATTCCACAAAAACATGTTCAGAGGCAAGACATTAGGCAAATTTGATATGAGAGTTAGTAACAGTTCCTTTGTAGGATGTAAAGTGTGTGAAACTGCACTAAGCAAAAATGTGCAATTTCAACAAATTCTAACAAAATTCAGGGATAGATATGACAAGGAAAATTGTTACAAGTAGATCCTTTTACACTTGATCTTAGCCAAAAGGCCAAGAAGCAATACAAGTAGATCATTTATATGGACATATACATTTGCGCATATTATAACATATAAAACAGATAAATATATAGATATGTCTCATATTAATAAGGGACATGAAACAAGATAATTAGAAATAATTAGGCAATCATTTTTTAAAATTTGATTTTATCGGTACATTTTAGGCATACAATATAATGATATTCATCATTGGGTATTTGTACCGTCACATAATATATCTTGATGCATGATCATGTGGTTTTTGTCCTTGGCTCTCTGAATATAGTGAATTACATTTATGGAATTGCATATGCTGAACCATATGAATCCCACTTGGTCAGGGTGTGTGATCTTCTTGATGATCTTCTGCATTCTATTTGCCATTATCTTATTAAGGATTTTTGCATCTGTGTACATTAGTGTGATTGGCCTATAGTCCTCTTTTTTGGTTGGGTTTTTCCGTGCTTTGGGGATCAAGTTGATACTTTCTTTCAGGAATGCATTTGGGAGTATTGCTTCCCTTTCGATTTCATCACAGAATATAAACCGTAATTGTAAATGTTCTTCTCTAAATGTCTTGTAGAATTCAGCAGTGAAACCATTAGGGCCTGGGCTTTTCTCAGTTGCTCAGTTTTTAATTACATTATTAATTCGGTTGACTGATATTGGGTTGTTTAAAATTTTTAGATCTTCTTCGTCCAACTTGGGTAATTCATACATATCTTGGAATCTATCCATCTCCTATGTGTTTTACATTTTATTTGTGTATAGGTTCTCAAAGTAGGTATTGATGATCCTCTGGATTTCTGCTGGGTTCAGTGGGATTTCCATGTTTTCATTCCTAATGCTTGAATTTGGCTATTTTCTTTCCTTTTTTTGATAAGGTTGGCTAAGGGTTTGTCAATTTTGTTTACTCTGTCAAAGAAGGAATCCTTTGCTTCATTGATTTTTTTTTGGTATCCTTCTCTTAGTGTGCATTGCATTGATTTCTGCTCTGATCTTTGTAATTTCCTCCTTTGCATGAGCTTTAGGACTGTTCTGCTCTTCCTTTTCTAGAAGTTTGAGGTTAAGAATCAGGTTGTTAATTTGAGCTCGCTTTGTTTTCCTAATGTGAGTATTCCCTGCTATGAATTTCCCTTATAAGGCTGCTTTCAATGTGTGCCATAGATTCCAGTACATTGTATTGACATCATCATTTAATTGTAGAAACTGTCTGATTTTTTCTTTAATTTCTTCTGTGACCCATTGGTTATTAAGAAGTGTGTTGTTCAATTTCCATGTGTTTATGAAATGCCTGTGGTTTCTTTTGCTATTGATTTCCAATTTCATTGAACAATGATCTGATAATATACAGGGATGACTTCAATTCCTTTGCATTTACTTAAGCATGTTCTGTGAGTGAACATGTGGTCTGTTTTGAAGAATGACCTATGTGCAGCCAAAAAGAATATATATTCTGATTTTTGTGGGGTGGAACACTCTGTAAACATCTGTTAAATTCATTTGTTCAAGAATTCGATTGAGTTCTAGTATTTGTTGTTTATTTTTTGTCTAGCTGATCATCTATTTGTGGCAGTGGGTTATTGAGGTCCCCCAGTACTATTGTATTAGTGCTTATTTCATTTTTCACATCCATTTGTATTTATTATATATACTGGGGCACACTAGTGTTTGGTGCATATATATTTATCATTGTCATGTCTTCCTCTTGGATTGATCCCTTTACAAGGATCTAGTGTCCTTCTTTGTCTCTTTTAATCACTGGTTTGAAATCCACTTGATCTACAAACAAGGATAGGTATTCCTGCTGTTCTACTCCTTTGACGTGGAATATTGTTTTCCACCCTTTAACTTTCAGGGTATGAGTTTCTTTTTTAATTAAGTGTGCTTCTTGTATGAACATATTTTCGATCTTGTTTCTTTATCCATTCTGCCAGGGTATTTCTTTTCATTGGTGAATTGAGTCTATTCACATTGATGGTCATAAGTGATATGATCTATCCTTGTCATGACTTTTTATTTTTGTCGTATTCTCCCCCTTTTGCACTTAATTTTTTGTTGTGCCTGATGGATTCATTCTGCTGGGCTTCCTGGGGTTGTGATCCTCATTGTCTTTTCCTAGGATATTTTTCAAAATTTTGGAATGCTACTTTGTTATTCACGAAGTGCCTCACACACAATTGTGGTGGTGAAAATATCTTATTTCCCCATCAATTTTGAAAGACAGTTTTGCAGGGTACATCAGTCTGGGTGGAGGGTTGTTTTTCTTTAGGGTTTGAAATGTATCACTGCAAGCTCTTCTTGCCTTGAGGTTTTGTGTGGAGAAGTCTGCTGTGAGCCTGATGGGCTTTCCTTTGGATGTAATTTGTTTCTTTTGTGTAACTGCTTGTAGAACTTTGTTCTTCTGTTTGGGTTCTGGGGTCTTGACTATTATATGCCTAGGTATAGATTTTTTTTTATCATGGCTAGTTGGAGTCCTAGATGCCTTACTTATCTGTGTGTCAACTTCTTTTTCCCTATTTGGGAAGTTTTCTGCCTTTACTTCTCTCAACAGGTTTGGGCTGGGTTTTTTTTGTTTTTGTTTTTGTTTTCCATCATTTGCCTTCACTCCGCTTTCTTCATTGACTCTGAGAAGTCTTATGTTATTCTTCTTTGCATCATCTAGCAGCTGCTGGAGATTTCTCATGGTCCCTTACTATTTCTAAGAAATTTTTCTTCTCCTGGTCACTTACTGCAATGCTATCTTTTGTATCTGAAATTCTGTCCTCACATTGGTTTGTTCTGCTGTATAAACTTTTAATGGAGTTTTTTGTCCTCTCATTGAGTTTATTGGTACATTTTAGGTATAAAGTACAGTTACATTCATCATCGGGATCTTGCACCTTTACACGACAGGTCTTGGTTCTCACTTTTCCCCTTGTCTCTGCCCTCCTTTGAGTCCCTCCTCCCCTCTCTCTTTACAAACACTTCATTTCCACAATGGAATTTTTAATCTCCTAGAAATCTGTTTGCATCTGTTTTATGGATTCCATTTGTTTTCTATGTTGTGATTCCAACATGTTCCTCACTCCTCTATTCTTTATCTGTGTCTGTGTTGTGCCCAGATCGCCAAGTCCCCAAAGACCACCAAGGAGTGGAGTCCGATGTAAATGCACAAGGAGTTTATTGCAAGTTCGAGCCTGGACCCTTGTACCTCACCGACTAAGCAGATCAGAAAAGAGAGCCCTGACCTCCTTCTAGAGCATAAATTTATAGGGCTTGGGAGGCTTGAAATCCACTCTGTTTCATTGGTGCTTCTTTCTATTTCTCATTTCTATTGGGTGTTGCAGGGGCAATTGCGGAAGGGGGAAGAAAACTTATCTGGCATGGGGAGGGGGCTAGTGGGCTAGTTCAGTGCGCTCAGGCATGTAGATTGTTCCCCTTGTCTATATAGATCATCCTGTCTCTTCCTTTTTGCAAGTTTTATGGTCCCCTTTCCCAGCCATCTGGCCTTGTCTTTATCTTTTGCTGAGCGAATTCCCGCAGTTCACCTAGGAGTCACATCTTACATGAGATGGCTTTCTGTCTTAGAATGGAGTTATTCTGATTTTAGCACTACATCTGCTCTAGATTTATTAATCATGTCTTGCACTATAGGCACAATCTCTGTTGTTATCTGAGAAATTATTTGTGACTTCATTTTTTCCAGATCCTCCTTTGTTGCCAGTTTAGAGAGTCCAGGTGGTTGAGAATCAGATTCTTCCATCTTGTTGCCTTTTGGGGTTGCCTTAGGTGATCTGCAAGTCTGCTTTTGAGACTTGTTTACATGTCTTCTCATGTCAACACATGCAGCCCGCTGTGGCTTCGTGAAGGCAACTTTTTGCTCACCCAGTGGTCTTTAATTCTCAGCAAGCCACTGAGCAGCCTTATCTCTGTTGCTCACCACTGCACTAATTCTTAGGCTCAGAGTGGTGGCCTTCTGCATCTCTGAATTGTCCTTTTCTGGGTGAGGTTGTAGTTGGGACCTGTGCACAGTGGGGATGGTATCTAGGTGTGCCTCTGCCTAGGGCCTGCCCTCCTACACAACTGTTGTCTGAGAAGACCTTTAACCCAGGGCTGAGCACCCCAGTCACTGGTGTCTGGGTGAGCTTCTGAGTAGAGTCTGGGTGCACTTACCGATGGTATTGGTACGGGCCTCTGGCTCTTGCTGTCCAGCTTTTTCAACAATGTGTTGGCTGTGCCTTGTGGGCTGCAGCTTCTGAGGCTGGACAGGCCTGTAGCCAATCTGCTCTGGTCCCAAGTGGCTTCTCCCTGAGATCTTCATTCACTTACCTATGGTATCAGAACAGGCTTCTGGCCAGGAATTCTTCATAGAAAAACTTACTATAGCATACTTTTAAGTTATTTCCTGAAGTACTGAATAAATACAATGCCCTTCTACATTAAAGTCTAGGATTTCTATTATATCATATGAACAACAAGCCCTAGAATTCTACAGTAATATGAAAGAAAACTTGTGCAAAAGTAGCCTCAGAACTATTGAAAGGCTGTAAAAACTAGTTTGCATGTATCAATATAACATAGTCTTTCAATTGTTCTAAGGCTCTTTCTTTACTTTGCAGATTGCAACAATTGACATCTTGAGGAAAAGTTCAAGAGGCAACAGAGCTGGCACTGCACAGAGTCCTCCCAGACTCCAGGAAGAGCTGTTTTCATGAGCTTTTCTACCTACTGCCCATCCTTCAGGGGCAAAAAGAACCCCTCTGACCCAGTCAAATGCACGTAGGTGAGGTGAGCCCTAAGGCCCACCCTGCTGTCTACATGCGACACAGAGCTAAGTGGTTTGTTTGTAGTCCCCATCAGACAACACGATCAGGGACGTGCCTGCAATGTGTATCTATGCAGCCTGCATGTGCATTAATGGGTGAATGGTTTAAAAAATTGTGGTATCAATACCGAATGATGTACTACTAAGGTATAAACAAGGAAAAATACAGGACATTTGTAGGAAAAGGGATATGCCTGGATAATATAATGCTAAGTGCAATAAATCAGACACACAAGCTTAAATACTCAATAGAGTAAAGCAAAGGACAGGTAAAGAGAAAGATATATGAGTGACAGACAGAAATAAAATGTAGGTCTTTTGTCAATGTCAAGGGGTACCGGAGACGAAGAGAAAGGGTAGAGGAGAGGGGAAGGGAAGGAAAAAGATTTAGGAAGTGTCAGGTGCTCTAACCAAATACCACAGTGAATCCATGATCATAAACATGAACTAAAAAATAAAAAACAGGGCTGGGGAATGTATCTTAGTGGTACCAAGCCTGCCAGGCAGGTAGAAGGACCAGAGTTTGATCACCAGTACGAAAACAGAAAAACAACAGACATAATGAAAATAGAGATAGTAGATTTAGAGATGTAGGGAGGGAGGTGGGTGGAGACAGGAAGAAAATGAGGAATATGAAAGAACGGAATTACAACATGTAGTAATTACAGCCTAAGATGACTGCAGCCTTCATCACAAAAACATGCACTAAAACGAAAAACAAAAAGGCCTATAAGGGTTAAGACTATGTGAAAAAGGCAAGAAGACAAATACATAACTGGTTAGCGAATCCTATTATAACCAGCATATTCAAAGCATGGTAATATTTGAAGAGAAAAAAATAAATGAATTGTATTAGAAAATTTAAAAATATTGCTTGCCTTCACACAAAATTTATCATGGTATAAATGATTAAAATGAGTGAGAAAGCGAAGTGGAACATAAAAAGAACCATATTACAATCAAAGTAATGCACAAATAATAGACATGCCTACAAATTTAATGAGGGAAATAAAACAATCCAGAATAAATGATAAGCAATACAGAGAATATGACGTAGTAATGGCATTAAAACTATTACTGAAAGTAGAGTCAGTTCTTCATTGAATTACACCCCCTCTAGTAATCTAATGTCTCAGTGCAAAAATGTTGTACTTCTGCCTTAGAAGTTTCAAGTATTTTAGGCAAACCTATTTTGAACTTGATAAGACTTTTTCCCTCCAGAACGTGTTTTATCTCTGAATCCATGCAGAGAATTCCTCTCTGGCCTTAACAGAATAATGTAGCACTTGGGTGCAAAGATGCAGCCCAGCAGCCCGGTGCTGGAGGCCAAGATGGAGAAGACCTCCATGGCCACCATGACCTTCCCCTTGGTGCTGTGGTACACGGGGAGGAAGGTGACCCACACACTGCAGAACACCAGCATGCTGAAGGTCAGGAACTTGGCTTCATTGAAGGTGTCAGGCAGGTTCCTGGCCAGGAAAGCCACGGTGAAGCTGACCAGGGCCAGGGAGCCCAGGTATCCCAGGACACAGTAGAAGGCAGTGAGGGAGCCCTTGTTGCACACGATGATGATGTGGCCATGTTCCGAGTGTGCATCTGTGTCTACAAAGGGTGGATTCGTCCCCATCCAGACTCCACAGAGAGTGAGTTGGATCAGGGAGCAGATGGGGATGATGGAGTTAGGTGCCCCTGACACCAGCCACTGCCTCATCCTCCTGCCTGGAGCAGTGACCTTAAAGGCCAGAACCACGGTGATCGTTTTGGCCAGGACGGTGGAAACAGCCACAGTGAACACAACTCCAAATGTGGTCTGCCTGAGGATGCAGGTGGCTGTGTTGGGCCGGCCGATGAAGAGCAAGGAGCAGAGGAAACAGAAGGTGAGGGAGATGAGCAGGGTGTAGCTGAGAGCCCTGTTGTTGGCCTTGACAATGGGAGTGTCTCTGTGCTTCACAAAGAGCCCAAGAACAGCAGCTGTGAGGACGGTGAGACTCAGGGCTGAGCCGGCCAGAGCCTTCCCCAAGGGGTCTTCATAATCCAGAAAAGTTATGGATTTTTGGAAGCAATAATTTCTTTGAACATTGGCATATTGGTGATCTGGACACTTCACACACATTTCCATATCTAGTTAGAAATGCATAATGTTGTTAGTTCAAGTTCATGTTTGTCTTACTCACATCCTGACCCAATAAAACTAATTGGAAGAGTTAAATAGTCTTTTGTTTTCTTTTGTTTCTAGACATTAGAAATATTATGAAATTATTATTAGAAAATTAATAAATATTATGCAGGGAAAAGTTTCAATTATAGTGCCAACTTCTTCTACTTCATGTTTTTTTTTTTTTTTTGTAGCAGGGATCGAACTTGGGACCTCTTCTTTATGCTGGAATGAACATTACTGTCCCATGTGATTATGTTTTTTTATAATTGCACTTTTCTTTCACATGCACTTCTGAGCTAACTCATGAAATCAATTATCTTTAAGTGATTCCTGAATTATTAATTCAATGTCCAAGCACATACCTGTGTCATTTGTAATCTCATTCTCTGGGCAAGGGGTGCAACCAAAACAACAGGAAGCTTTTCCCTCCTGAGGGGTTTTCCTAAATCCAGGACTGCAGCTCTCACTGCATACCGAGTGTGGGGTCTGAAGAAAACCAGATATGTGTTGGTGACCCCTGTAACTTTTGACTTATTCCTCCTAATTATAGTGAGCCAATGAATATTTATACACACACAAATCCAGCTATGCAATGAGATGCCATGTACACCGAGTGATAAGCATAGGATCATTTACAAAAATATAACCGAATGCATATGTTGCTGTGTGATTCATCGGAAAGTTCAATAATATAATTATTTCAAATTAAAGGCATGTTTGCTAATTTCTATACATGTCCATTTCTTGAGCAATACGGGAGCACAAATGCTACCAAAGGAATGCAGTCGTTTTGGGTTAATACAGTGCCTTCTGATTACACACCACATACCTCTGGAATTTCCATGGCCCATTCTATTAGGTCCTCAGATAAAGATAACCGCTGCCCTTGGGGAGCATGTGGGGAAAAGTTTCCTACTTTGACCTTAAGTCTAAGGCCTTCTGGAAAATTCCAAAGATTGACAATGTCGTACTGTGCATCTGGTTTTCTTCTGTCATCCAGTTTCACTTGGTCTCCAGCAGGATTGTTAAAGTGGACATTCTTCAGAAAGGGGTGAAGCTGAAAAAGAAGCATCATGGCCCAATGACCTGTGGCCAAGTAGCGAGACCAGAGCCCTGAATGAGGGAAAGAGTTGGCATTCGCGTTTTCTAGTGCAACTTTAACACTCTTATTCACTGAGGTAAAACAAATAAAAGTCTATATCAAAATACCACAGTGTTCCAAAAATGTCAGTGACTATCAAGAAAAATATTCCAATGGATATCATGGAAATCAATCAAATCAATGAGTGTTATGTAAAGCTCAACCGTGGAATTGAAGTTCCAAACAGCTATTGTCTCTCTGATGGTTCTCAGAATACCGACCTGCAAAATGAAAATATCGGCACAAAACTCCTTGCAAAAATAAATGAGAAAATTCATACAAAGTAGCCACCATTTAGCTACCTAAAAACTACATCCTTTCCCCTTATGCTTGAAAAACTTCATGGGAAATCTTTGATCTCTCTTATGAAAAACATTGAGGGAAGATGTTGCTGATTTCCTTTGGAAAATTAAACATTGATCTCGACTCATATTCAATTTTGTCTTTACCAGTTGTACTCATTTCTGATGACCAAGTCTAGCTGTTTAACCTTGATAGTAAAGCTAGTACAGGCCTTGTCACACTTTCTTTAGATGTACTTCTAAGCTCTGTATGCGAATAACCCCTTGAGTGCCTTCAGAAAACATAGTAGCTATCACCGAGAAGAGGAGACATTACCTGCCAGGATGAAAATGACATCTGCTCTCCACGGCCCACTGGCTGCATCTGCACTTGCTGCAGAAGCATCTCCTGGAGGGCGTGGGCCACCGCGTACACCGCATTGTACACGTTGTAACTCTCTTCACTCATGGCTGGGTCAAAACGATTTGCAGGCAGCCACGCCAGAGAGGCATTGGGCATACAGTCCATCAGTGCACAGTCAGAGTCAGATACTGAGCAGTCGAAATAATTGAACCAATGCAGAGCAAGGTACGTGTCTTCTGGGTATTTGGAAGGGGTAGCAGTCCGGATAAAATTTTTGAAACCAGAAATCTCCTCACGGTGGTGTGAAAAGGTGAAAGCGCCATGAAATGAGCCCAGTATGAAGTTTTTCCCAGACATGTCAGCCTGCAATTGTGAGTTTGTCACCCAGACTCTCCATGTCACTAAAGGTTTCTCTATATTATAGTTGATGCTATTGACACTGTCACTATCATAGTAAATGATAACAACATTAACGGGTGGTGTTTCCCTGGTTAGAAAGTTATGTTGCTGGTGGTGTAATATAGCTGACAAAATAGTATTTGAAATGATTTTCACAAATGCCACACAGACTCTGTTCCTGTCCATCTCTCCTTTAAGATTTGAGAGAAATTGCAGACCTTTCTGACCTTCTGTGATGATCAGTCCCACCCAGGTCCAGCTGAAATGGGTCAACAAAGAGACCATGCCAAGGGCCAGAGACGTGTCCTTGGGGGCCACCTGATAGAGAGAGGGAAACTGGCCACTGTCACTCAGTACGGGGTCGAAAGAGCCAAAGTTCAGCTACAGAGGAAAGAAAGTTAAAAACAATATGAATAAACTTGATATAAAACACAATTTCACACCCCCCAAATTATGGCACAGTCGGGAGAGTCATAGAGCAATATTACCAATGCTATCTCTCTAATCATCTCACTCACAAAATGCTTGTTATAAAACAACTGAAGACACACAGAATTTCAGGGAACTTTTTTTCCACTTTCCTTCCTTTCTCCCCTATATGCTGACGCTGCTGGTGGAAAAAAAAAAAAAGAAGAATTCCTCATATCTCAGGGTATTCTCCCATGAGGCTAGACCCTTGGAGAAATACTTGTAAATCTCTTCTTTTCATTAACTTTAGGGGCCCCAGAATGACACTAAACAACTCTATTTCATCTCCCCCCAGCCCATTCTCCCAGACCTGTGGAAATTTGTAGAGCTCCATCAGTGCCCCAATTTGAGCAGCTGTTTCCCAGGACGTTCCTGTAAATAATGCGATGGACTTGCTCTCTCTCTTACAGTTGAAATTGGGGATTTCATCCTGCCCTGCGTACAAGATGAGGAAATTCTGTAGTATCCTCCAATGACCGTGCAGAAAATTATGAAACTCATATCCCAATGACACGTTGGTTAAAAGGTGAGGATTCGCATTGATTTCTTCAATGGCAAAAATGAAGGCTAAAACAGTCTGGTAGTTGTTGGGTATAAACCTGCATGGAGAACACAGAGGCTTTTAGGAAGGAGACACATTTGACAATTACCTCTCATGTACGCACATTCTCTTCTATAAAGTGATTGCTTTTATCCCTCTCTGTAATTTTTATGCGACGACCCTAAACTATATGTGATGGCATGAAAATCTTGCTTTGAAGTAGATAATTAGTATTATATGAAATGCTGAATGAAAATTTCTTATAAATGAGACCAGTGCTCTTACACAGAAGAGTTTCTTATCTCGTTCTGCCACTCACATACAGCCAGAGGACCTCCCAGGAAGATGGTGCAGTGGTAAGCAGCAACAAATCCACCTCTCCAAGATTCAGACTCCAGACCCTGGAGAACAACAACTTGGGGAAGAGAAGAAGGAGGCAGTGGGTCCGCAGGACCCAGGAAAGATCTGAAGGAAAGAGTGGGACATGTGGAGAAAGTGAGGAGACAGACGACAGCACCGAGGGAGGGACACAGGCGACCCCCGGCTTATGGAGCAAGAGAGGAATATCGAATTGACGAAGGGGGCTCAGGTAGAACAGCTAGGTCCAGAGGCTCCCGAGGAGAAACCCAACAGTGTAGCAGAGCAAGGGATGTCATGCACTGCAGCGGCCAGGAGAGACTGCAGCCCTGGTGACAGCCACGGTCCTTGGTAGAGGCCTCAGTGGGATGCCTCTTGGGGAAGGCCCAACTGATCCCGACACACACAGCAGGCATGGCCTGGCTTCACCTCAGGGATCCGGTGTTGAAGTCGCCAAAGCAACTGGGTGAGTGATGCCCATGGGAGACGCCCAGGGTCACGGAGCCACGAGATAGCTTAGGGGTGGACCTTCAGAGTGTGGCTCGTTGAAGACCAGGACACCAGCCCCACAGTAAGAGGCCTGGATCACCCTGAACCTCTGTGGAGTTGGAAGCACCAGACTCGGCACTCCACACCAACCCCACTGTAGGCTTGCTGGGATTACTCACCACCTCACCCTAATCCTACTGCAGACTGACTGGGGTTTCCCTGGAAACATCTGGACCCCAGTGTAGACACTGCCACAAAAGCATGGACATCAGAAGAAAACGACAGGCCTGAAGTCACAGGGCAATTTCTTTTTTGTTTGTTTTGTTTTTCTGTTCTGCTTTTTTCTCTTTTCTTCATTCTCTGTTTTGTTTTTATCATGAGTGTGAACATTGTTTTTAGTTTTGGGGGGGTCTTACTTTGACCCTGTTTTGGCTTTTACCTTTCTTTCTGTCCTGTCTTCTTCACCAGTTTCCTGAACCTCAGGTAATCTTCTTTTGACCTTTAGCCTTGCTTCTAATGTCTTTTTCTTCTTTTCTTCTCTATTTTTCTTTTATTTGTTTTAAATTCTCTCCCCTGAGGCTAGAGTATTTCTATTAAGTCAATTTTAACTGTATGCAATTTTCTGATTTGTTTTAGCTTTTGTTGTGTAACTACAAAGCTTGTACCTATGGTTAAAGGTAGCAAATGAACAGATATCACTGTTTAGTATTTTCTGGGCTCTGCTTGGTGCTCCTTTTGGCACTGGTCCTGCTACTTTACTCAGGGTGGCACGGTTGTTGTGATCAGTTGTTCTCCCTTCTATGCCAACACCGAGATTGTGTGGGAGTCATAAACAATACCGTAGCCCAGTACCAAAATAGTGGCGCTTGACAAACAGACAACTGTCTCTAATTGTTAACAAATTGAAGAGGCAGAATCTCAGGTCAGAATCTCAAGCAAACATACAGAATCTCTGAAAAGTCATATTTCCTAAAGAGGGTTCATTATAGTAAAAAAGCTGTCTACCTTAGGCAAATAAGAAACATCAGCACAGAAAATCAATGAGGCAGTCGCACTAGGGACATTTACAGCAGTTAATTCCCACATCATAAAAATTGAGCAAGTTTGTAAGAAGGAAGAAATTATAAAGCTCAGAGCAGAAATTAATGCAAGTGAGGCTAAGAAAGCAGTACATAGAATTAATGAATTGAAGCGGTGTTCGTTAAAGTACTGAACAAAATTCACAAACCCTTAGCCCAACTTATTGTAAAGGAAAGAGAAGACTCACATCCATGCAATTCCAGATGAAAGGGTGAAATTACAGTGGATCCTGCAGAAATCCAGATGATCGTCAGTACCTGTTTTGAGAACCTATTCTCTAAAAAGATGCGAAACTCAGAGGAAATGGGCAGATTCCTAGATACATAGGAATTCCCAAAGCTGATGTAAAAAGATATGAAAATTCTAAATAACCCAATATCAGCCAATGAAATGGAGTTCACAGTTTAAAAACTATAGTTTACAAAACAACAAAGAAAAGCCAGGTTTGCTGCTGAATTCTATAGGAACTTTAGAGACGATCTGATGCTACTTCTTAATGAAAATGAAAGGGAAGCTGTGCCCCCAAAGCAATTCCTTGAAGCAAGCAGGAATCCTGGTACCCTGCTACCAAAACCAGAAAAAGACCAAAGCACCCTGCAAAAAGATGTGTAGGCCAATATCACTAAAAATCATGGATGATGCAGAATTCCTCAGTAATATACAGACATTGATATTCAGGTCTTTTTTTGCCAGTATCATGCTGTTTTCATTATTGTAGCTCTGTAGTGTAATTTCCAGTCAGAGATTATGATGTTTCCTGCTTTACTGTTGTTGCCAAGAACTGCCTTTGATATTCTCTGTTTCTTTTGTTTTCAAATGAATTTTAGGATTTTTCTCCACTTCTGTGATACATGCTGCTGGAATTTTGAACAACACTGTACTAAATATATATAATAATTTTGGAAGTATGGCCATTTTCACTGTATTTGTTTTTCCTACCCAAGAATAAGGGAGAGCGTTCCATTTTCTAATATCCTCTTTGATCTCCTTTTTCAGAACACTGTAGTTTTCAATGTAGAGTTTCAATGTAGAAGGAAGTCTTTCACTTCCTCCACTCAAGTGATTCCTAGGTATTTCTTATTTCTGGTGCTACTGGGTAGAGTGTTCCCTGACTCCTCTCTCAGTGAGTTTGTTATTTGTGTGCAGGAAGGCTACTGATTTTTGAGTGCTGACTCTATATCCAACTAGGCCACTGCCTTTGGTTATTAAAGCTACAAGTCTTTTGCTGGAGTTTTTAGGATCTTCTATATAGAGTGTCATGTCACCTGCAAGTAATGACAGTTTAACTTCTTCCTTTCCTATTCTATTCATTTTGTACCATACCTCACAGAACCAGACAAAGTGATCCTAGAATTCAAATGAATCTAGTAGAGGCCTAAAGTAGCAAAAGCAATTCTGGGCAACCAAAGCAATGCATGGGACATCACAATCCCTGATTTGAAGTAATAATGACAAAGCTTCTTTGATAAAATCAGCATGGAACTGGTAAAAAGAATGCGACCCAAAGGTCAGTGCAATAGGATAGAAGATACAGAAACGACTCCTGGAGCATTCAGTTGCCTTGTCTTTGAAAAAGAGGCCAAATACCTTCGCTGGAAGAAAAATGGCCTCTATAATAAATGGTTCCATGAAAGCTGATTTTCCTTATCCTGAATATTGAGCTGCGATTCATATCTCTCACTGTACATTTAACTACAATCAAAACGGATCAAAGATGTACATATTAGAAAAGAAACATTCAGTATGTTGGAAGATAAAATAGGCAAAACTCTTGAAGACAAAGGTGTAGGCAAAGACTTTATGAACAAAATTCCTATCACATAGGAAATATTACAATCACATAGGAAACTATCAAAGTGTTAAAAAACTTTTGCACAGCAAAGGAAAGCACCAGCAGTCTGAAGAGACAACCCACATGATGGGAAAAAGCATTTTACTAACTATTCCTGGACAATGGAGTAATATCTAGAATAAAGAAAGAACTGAAATGATCAGAATCCTGAAATTTAAAGACCCAATCTAAAAATGGGTGTCTGAAATGAATAGACACTTCTCAGATGAAGAAGTACAAACATCAAATTAATATAAAAATAATGTGCGATTCCATTGGTTATTCAAAACTGCAAATTTAATCAGCACTGAAATTCCATCCGCTCCACAAAGAATCGTAATCATGGAGAAATCAGCCAATGACAAATGCAAATGAGGCTGTGGGGAAACAGCAGACCCTCTGCACTGTTGCTTAGAGCGTACATTGATACAAACTATGCGGAAATCAGTGTGGAGATTCCTCGAAAGTCTAAAACTAGAGATTTCCTTGGACCTGCTATTCCCCGCCTTGGTGTCTTCCTCAAAAAGTTAAAAGCATGGTCCCGCAGTGATGTATGCACACCGTGTTTGTAGAAGCGCAGTCTGCAAGAGCTAAATTATTGGAGACAACTGAGAAGACCATGAACAGATGCATGGATAAAGACACTGTGATTTTTAAACACAGCGGTGTCTACTCCGCCTTAAAGGAGGTAAACTTTAGACATTTTTAGGTAAAGGGATCCACCTTGAGATCATACTTTTCTGTGAACTCATCGGACACATCTGTTTCAATACTGCATTGCTTCTCTTCCATGAATGAGGACCGAAATATATAATAGATCTTGGGAGGCAGCCAGACAATGTGGAAGTCGGAGGGAGAAAAGGGGAGGGAGAGGAAGGACGGGAAGGAAAAGAAAGCAAAGATGAGGTTCAGGGAAAGTGGAAGCAATATTTTGTGTACAAGGAGGGGAAGCAGGCTTGAAGACGGAAGGGGAATGGGAAAAACAGACCCCGGACAGGTACGATTTGCCCGTCATGGCTGCGATCGCTGCGTGCATGGAAAGTGTACCAATACGATGAGAGGTACCATGCAGATGTCAGGTGTGCAGAGCCGCGCATATCCGTATTTGCAGTGTGAGAATAAGTGAAGGGAGACGGTTCAGAATATTCCTCCTGCTCTGATGTAACTGTAGGAGCAGAAAAGCTCAGGACGAGCTCGAGACAGCATCGCAGTTGCTGGGACCCTTGCATTCATGCCTACGTGGGCCGCATCTTCCATTAGGCTGATGAAAATTATGTTTGCAATTGGACGTTGCTGTAGTGGCAAACATACGAACTTTAACTAAGTAAACATGTTTCTTTTCCTAGGACCTTCATCTCGGATTGTCAGAGAAATTAGCTAGGAGTCTCGGCCCCGAGTTGCTGTTTCTAGGGGCCAAGTCCGCCTGCACTGGAGTCTCCGAAGAGGAAGGACAGGAAGCCTCTCCTCGGTCCGGACAGAAAGAAGCTCCCGGGCACCCGAGTCCGCCCGCCGAGGCGGGTGCAGGTGACGGTCTTGTCTTCCGCCCTCACAGATATCTGCTCCTGCCCCGGATGCAGCGCTCCCTCGCATTTTTATTTCTAAATGGTACCGGATCGAGCTCAGAACCTTGGGCTTGCGAGGCAGGCGGCAGAACTACGGAGCTAAATCCCGCCCCTTCCTTGGACTTTTTCAGATAGGACTTTAGTTCGGGGTTTGCACTGTTGCTCCGGCACCGACTAATTTTATCCTGAATCGTGTTCTGCACTTGAAATCTATTGGCGATTGCTGTCTCTTTGGTTCCAGTGCCTCCTCCCTCCCTCTCCCAGATGAAATGTGGTCCCCTTAGGCCGCCTGCAGCGCCCGCGCTCGGAGCTCAGAGCGGCCAGAATCCCTGTGCCCAGCTCCGTGTCTCGGGAATGCTCCCCGCAGCCTCGGTCTCCGCTCTCCTCCAGCCTGGAAAGTCCCGTCCGCGCCTGCAGTGTTCAGAACCCAGCCCAGCCCCTCCTCGCCGGTGTAGAGCTCCACCCCGCGGGCCCTCTCCTGAGCGTCCTGCTGCGAGGAACAAAAGCTCTCACCGCTCTCCGCCAGGGCTGTGCAATTGCGGAGCAGCTTTCCCTGCCCAGACCGCCCAGAGAAGCTATGGCCCTGACGCGATCTGAGACCACAAAGATGAACAAAATCACCCGGGACAGTCAGAACCGACGTTTGTGCATGAGACACAGCGACCAATGTGCTCTGAAAGTTACGGGAAGAAAAACGAACACGTCCACTTCCCCTTCCCCTCCGGACGTTTCCTTCCTAGTTTCTCATTCTTCATGGCTGAGGGGAAGTGGCAGGGGTCGGGGAGAGGAACAGATATGAGGAAGGGAAGGAATGGAAAAACGTCTGTGTAAGTAGGGAGGGCAGGGGAATGGGAAAAATAAGAACCAAGACACACCGTGTAGAGTCCCAATTCCCAGTCATGAATGCCAGCATATTGTCCACCTAAACGGCACCGAACAGGTAATGAATGAAGACAAGAAAAAGGGAAATGACTCAGCCAGGTGTGCTGTGTGTCCCACACTGAAATCCCAGCACCTCAAAGGCTGAGGCAGAAACCGCACTTGATCTAACGGTTTTGTATGGCCAGCCTGAAAATTTATGGACTCTGTTTCAAAAAATATGCCAACGTGGGAAGTATCTGAAAAATAAAAATGAAAACAAAGACAAGGAGCATCAGATAGATGCAGGCACGATCGGCAGAAAGGGGCCCCGATTCCTAATCATGCTACAGAGGCAACAGTTTCAGATCCAGCATCTGCTAAGGACATAGCTGTCAGCACTTCAGAGACAGCCCCTTTTCTCACAGGCACAACCCACGCTCCAGGGTCCTCTGTCACCTGGAGAGATCCATTTATTCCTTACACCTTTGCCTATAGAATCAGTGAGATGATATCTGAAAACAGACCGTGTGTGTTCAGGATAAATATTTCACAGAATCCAGAATGCCCACCGCTGGGCGGCTTAGCAGCTCCAGGCGGCAGGGAGCACACTTGTGAGGAAATACACTTGCACAGGTTAGTGAACGTGTGGCTGGATAGCTGCAGGAAGTAGTCTGTCCAGCAGGCCGTGTATAGACAGCAATGGCCACTCTGGAGGGACCGGAGGAATGCTATGGACAATGAAAGAAACCTTAGCAGACACCGGCTTTTCTGAAAGGGAGATTTCACTGCTGCCTTGGAGCACTACACAGAATCCACCGGCCTGAATCCCCACTCTTAGTGTCATGCAACAGCAGCTGAGGGAGGAAAAGGGACACAGCAGGGTAGGTGAAGGCGCTTTCCCCTTCAGCATTCAACCCTTCAAAGGGAATGCTACAGAAGTGAAACTAGAATATCTTCTCTATTTCAAAAGGAAAAAAGTTAAACAGAAAGCAAAAAGAGTAGTTCTGAGGAAAGTTAGGTGGTAAGGATAGGCTAGGGATGCACTAAATATTGCTTTTACATGAATGGAACCCCATGTATGATGCGTCATGATAATCAAGCCAAAAACAAAGAAAGAAAGTGGACACTTACTGTAGGAGAAAGATGTCCCTGCTAGGCTTTATATCAACATTATTATTGATATAGATATAGGTATAAAGGGCGAAAAAGCCCCCAAGCAGCACATCTCCATCCCTGTGCACTCTGGTGCTCCTCTGCAGAAGGCAGTCGTCATTTGCTGAGGAACCCACTGATAGAGAAGGCTGCAGGAAGAGGAGGAAGAGGAGGAGGAGGACCAAGAAGAGCATCTCAGAAGTGTGTGCAAAGCCTTAAGTCTGAGCGAAGACAGAACTCCAGAGTGCTAGCCAGGAAGTACATGTATTATGGGGTGTGTGTGTGTGTGTGTGTGTGTGTGTGTGTGTGTGTGTGTGTGTGTGTTTGTGTGTGTAACTCCTTCAGACAAGAATGCACACCCTCCTCCTGATCCAGCCCCTCCCAGCCTAGTTGCTCCTATCCCCCAAGAGAAACAGCAATGACTTCTCCTTTGACACTGTTAACCTGAGGTCTGGTGGCCAGGTGCAAAGCGCAAGTTGGAAAACAAGTTTGAAGATGATTCTCCCTGCCTTGGACACCATGATTTCATCGAGGTCATTAACAGAGAAGACCCAGGGACCTCTTCCTCTCATGCGGATTTAGTCCCAGAGCTCTGTCAATAAACTATTTTCACGAGTGCCACTTTGGGTGATGCTAATGATTTGCAACAGAGGATTCCAGCTTAGATGTTTGGCGAAAAGTTCTGAAAGGGCCCATGCATCACCAAGAACATCTTGCCACTCTGCCCTTAAAATCTCAATGAAAGGAGTTCAGGGATCACAACTCAGGTTTCATTTCAGCCACAAAACACTCCCCACACGGCCCGCTTACCTCTGCATGTAATGTGTACTGAAAAACTGGCAGCCATATGTGCTCCGCATAACCTGTGGCACTAGTAGTTGTACCAACTCTATAAACTCAAAATTAGTAATCCCGGATCTATGCAGAAATGAGTTGCATTTTGGGGTTTTAAAATTCCACTCTTTTGCTCATCACTTAGTCTTTGAAATGTTTTTCCTGTTTAATACACTCTACTTTTGGGTCCCTCCAGTATTTAAGCTTTTCTGAGATGATAGGGCTATGCAGAAACCTCTCCATTCTCACTGTAGTCTTCACCACACAACATATTGAGGACCAGGATAAACAGGCAGACCTAGGTATCCCTGATCTCCGGAGATTCCTCAGGACAGGGAAGATACTTAGTAAGACACTGCAGCTGTTGAGCCCATGGGATTTCTCAAAACTGATATAATATTTAGTATAAAAAGTTAATACTGATCTTAGCATGAACTTCAGTATTGGTGAATCAATATTTGATTTTACATGGTAAATTTACTGTGACATATTGAAATGAGAAATTATAAAAATCAAACACACCCTGGCTGCAATAAATTATATACACTGGATGTACAGTGCAAACCTCTGAACCAGCTCTGAACATGGTGATCAGAGAATTAATCAACAGACTGATATAAGGAATTGTAAGGAACATGATATTGATCATATCAAGTATGTGAAGACATCACAGTGCACTGGCAGCTGAGGTGAGGTGTTTTCAAGAACCCTAAGACAGGGAACCCCAAAGAAGCTGACTGATTACACCCAAGAACGGATGACCCAACACCTGCAACTGGAGGGACAGACAAGACGCGAAACGTTTGCTACAAAAACCGCACAGGAGGAGGAATCACAGAGCTGTGGACCTGTGATATTCCTCAGTGAACAGCTGATTTTCTCTCCTGGGCCAGCTGCTGATGTCTCCAGGGACAGAGGCTCTGCGGGACCTCTGTGGGACAATGGCACACTCTTCCAGCCTGCTGTGAGTTGGACCTGAACTTCTGTTCAGTGAGTGATGTGGACTCAGTTTGGTCTCATATTTGTACGACCAAGTATACCCAGGACTTTGTGCCTGTTCGGATTTGCCTTCTCGAGTAAGGGTTTTGTTGGGTGAACTGAGATGTGACCAAGCCATGCATTCAAAAGTCAACCAGTCATCAAATCTGTCCATATCTCTTACTGTGCTGGGAGGTGTTAGTGACGGATTGGCAGGGTGCAGGCCAGGACCACCAGGAAGGGGAATTCTGGTGAAAATGCAAGATGAGATGGACTATTAAAGCATGTTATTTTAAGCAATAGCTACAAATTCACAATGGTCATTCCATATAGTAGCCCAAGGATTACACTTGCACCCCAGGCTTAGCGGGCTTCTTCACACGAAGACAGCCTTCATAAAGAACTGTCTTGGCTGTTCACTGATACCAGTAATTCCAGATACTTACAGGATTTACCATGCACCTACTACACGAAGCATAAAAAGCAGGTTACTACTTCCACACCGAAGATTAATACTGCATCTACTGAAGGGAACACCTAGCAGACCACCAAACACAAAGGAGAGCTACACCTTGTCAGGAGACAAGATCTTGTAACACAGACACATTCAAGTCCAATTTGTGGGCATCGCCATGGACACGTAGATGCCTAACTCTTGCACTTCACTCTAACTTCCTAAGACCTTGGATATTACTCTTTTATTAAGTTTATAGGTTCACTTTAGGGATACAATACAGTTACATTCATCGTTGGGATCGTGAACCTTTACATGACTTATCTTAGTTCTTACTTTTTCCCCATTCCTATTCCTCCCTTCACCCCCTCCACCCTTCCCTGTTTATAAAAACATTGTTTCCATGTTTTTCCTTTTCTCATGTTTTTCTTTTCCATTTTTACCTTTCCCCTACTCCTCCCTCTTCCCCTATTCCTTTAGACCTTTTCTTCCTATTATACAATATCAATTTTACATTTTGATCCTTATTTATACTTTTAGTTTTTCACAACCAAGAAACTATTCAGTGTTTACACACGTGTATCCAATTTATTTCACTTAAGAGTAAGGTTTCAGCATGCATCCACCTAGCTATAAATGTCACATTTCTCATTCTTTATGGCTGAGTAGTACTCCATTTTATAAAATTTTAAAAAACACATCTTCTTTGTCCATTCTCAAGTTGATCTGAAATAGGCTGTTTTCACGTTTTAGCTATTATTGGATATTGCTGCTACTTGGATGTGAGGGTGTATATCATCAAATTTGGGAATATATGCAGGTTTTTCTTTGAAATGCTACACGTCAACCTTGGATTTTTAGAAACTTTTTTACTGGACCTTTACTACTTGCAGGTATAATTTTAATTATTTCCTTTGGGCATTGCTCTGCCCATCACAGCTGGAACTGTACTGGTGGTAATAACACATTGGTATCTAAATCCAGCTGCAGAACTCTTAGTAAATGAACTCTGTGTCTTGGACCAAGCATTGCAATAAGATCAAGGCCTTGAGCCAATAACATCTGGTGCACCAATATGAAATTCTGTCCCACACATAGACATAGACCTTTGAGACTAACAGATAACATCTTCCAACACTGTTCCCAGGTCACCTCTGTAGAGGACACTGCAGGCCTGGCCTTCGTGCTGCTCTCCCTCCTCCAGTGCGCTGTAGCACATCACAAAGAGACACCTCCCCTGCAACTGTCCAGGGTAGGGAGAAGGGGTCCCTCCTGGGAGACTCTAACACCTGCACCAGGAATGCGCAAGAGTCAGTGTCACCACCTTTAGGTGCGATGCATGAATCCTTCCTGCTGCTCACCATACTTTTGCAGCACCATCTGCTACCAGGCTTACTTTCGTCAAGTAGTAATTTCATCAAAAACTGCTCCTCCTTTCACTCACTTTTCCCTCAAAGTTCTATGGAGCAGCTGACAGATCTGCCCATTATACAAATGCCTCAATATCTCGGGTCTGTGTTCAGATATCTGGGTCCTTGCTTGTGCCTCTGCCTCTCTCTGACTGGATCTGGAGCCCACCTGTGTTGACCTACTAGAAGCACTCACAATGCCCCGCAGTTGCTCTTAGATGTCTCCGTGTGTGGCCAACACCTCACAACAGGTGTCGCCTGAATGACCTATCCACAGCTGAGTCCCCATGGCTGCCCCAGCTGGGTGCCCGTTGGTGGCAGGGCTTCCTTACGTGTGCCTGCACCACCCTTCTCCCTGGAAGCCCTCTTCCCTCTTATCTGACACTCAGAGGACTCTTTCAGGCACCTGAGGAAATCCAGAACTCTGGGACTTGTGCATGGGGCCTCACTTGGTTGACGGCATCAGGTGAATCCACGGTAAGGTCGCTAGGTCCAGAACCAGCCTGGTGTAACTGGTGAGCTTCTAAGAAGAGCAAGCACTGTGTAGGGTAAAGGTGTAGGGGAAGTGGGAAGAGTTAGGGACCGGAACTAAGGGAAAAGAAAAAGTATGAGAACATGAAAAAATGGAAATAAATTATTAGTAAACAGGGAAGGGAGGAGGGGTTGAAGGGAGGCCAGGGACAAGGGGAAAAATGAGAACCAAGACCTGTCATGAAAAGGTACAAGATCCCAATGATGAATGTGACTGTACTGTATACCTAAAGTGTACCAATACACTCAATGAGACAAAAATAAATTTTAAAAAAATAGCCAGGGATTTAGCTCAGCGGTTCGGTGGCCTGCCTTGCAAGTGAAAGGACCCAAGTTCAATCCGCAGTACCAAAAACAAAACAAAACAAAACAAAAACAAAACAATAAATTTTAAAAAAATAGAAAATGAAAATAGTGGTCAAATATGTATTTGTCATAAAAGGAAATTAATTATTTTAAGTTATGTCCAATAGTTACAGTGAGTAACTCCACTTCTTTTTAAATTTTTTGAACTTTTATTTGTATATGTTTGCAGTTTATGTAACTTACGATCATCTTGTGGAGTGATTATATGTACACATTGCAACTGTGGAGACCAAAGTGACTCCGTTTTGCCAGTTACCGAGTTCTCAGGAAAGCCCATGCCTGTTCCCGCACGTTGCCATCAGATGTTCCCTTTTCTTAGTGTTGTTAGGAGAAGGAGGGACATCTGGCCTGGGCCAATTAAGCTTTGAGAAAACACACACTTGCAAAATGTTAACCAATCAAGCGCTGACCCATTTAGAAAGCCCCTAGTTCTGCTCTTCTGCTACTATAAAAGGCTGTTGGAAATCAGTCTCGAGGCTCTGTTTCTGAACCACTGTGTCGGTGAGATCCGAGGGTCCAGGCTCGGGCTTCCAATAAACTCCTCGTGTGGTTGCATCGTACTCGACTCCTTGGTGGTCTTTGGGGATATCACAATCTGGGCACAACACAACTTACTTCTTTTTTAGGAAAAATCTCCTTCCCCTCTCTCCCTGTCCTGTCGCTCCTCCTCCAGTTCTCCGGTCCCAATTTTCATTCCTGTCAATGGAATGGTAAAGGGTACATTTCTTTCTTAGTTAGACTGGGACCCAGGAGGCTGAAGGAGAGCACTATGGTTCCATGAAGTCATCGGCAGCCCCGGCTGGGGCGGTGGTGAGGGGCTTGCGTGGGGTCCCTGGCGGCACCACCCCCTGTGACTCTCACCGTAACATTATTCCTTCAGTTGTCCCCGTCACAGAGACACGTAAACACGGGTGCTTTTCCTAAATAGTTGTTCCTACTTCCTTTAACAGATATGAAACCCTGTGTGGTTTTACTTTTGCAATAATTTTGGAGCTATTATTTATTGCCAAACTAGTGTCAATTTATAAACCATAACAGCGTTACAACACCATTTTTGTTTTTGTCCTATTATCAGTCATTGACTTCATACTTTGTGTCCATGGAGGTTTGATATAAGACAGACCATGTGATGTTTAAGTTTGTCTAAGTTACTTCACTTAACACTATGATCTCACCGTGCATCAGTTTTCCTACAAATGGCTTAAGCTTATCCTTCTTTATGGCAGAACAGTGCTCCCTTGTGTGGAAACATCACATTGCTTTGTCCATGCAGCTGTTGACGGACATGCAGGCTGTTTCCAGGACGCAGCTATCAGGAATCCTGCTGCTGTAACCTGGGCAAACCCTGCTGCGCTGTGAACTCTTGGGGCAGGGGCCTGGGGGGGACTGGCTGAGTGCAATGCATCTCTCCTGGGACCTAAGGGTAGTGCAGTGGTCCTCACTGTGAGGCAGACTTGCTCCTAGGGAGTGCAAGGCGCTGTGTAAAGACACCGTTGATCAGTGCGGTAGCGTAGGTGGACTGGGTCACTGCTGGTGTCCAGGGCGTGGGGCTTCCGCACCAGATCCTCCTGAGGGGTGCGGACCTCTTCAGTCGGGCCCTCGCCCCAGGCAGCCCCACGGCCACTGTTGAATGCTCTGCATCCCCGACTCAGGAAACAGAGACCACGGATGTTCTGTGCATTCTCTGCTTTTACCCATCGCATATAAATGTGACGGAGAAGAATGATTAACGGCTCTCCTCCAGGTTGCTCGTTATTTATCAACAGAAATTAGCCTGGACCTCTGCATGTGCTCTCTTTCTTATGCTTTTGAAAGAATTACAACTATAGAACAAGATAGCACATTCTATGTATCCACCGATCAGAGTGAGCTGGTTTTAATGGGTTCACTACAATTAATTCTTGAAAAAAGGGACGCCATTGCTGAGAGTACTAAATCCATTTGTTTCTCTCCCTAATCTTCTACCTTCATCCTGGGAAATAATCACCATTATAATTATGGTTTGCATATGTATCCTATCCATGTTTTTCTAGTTTTGCTATTATTTGTACTTAAAGGTGATGTGTAGACTTATTAAATGTGTTTTATAATATTGGGCTTCGGTATCTCTACTTTCCCTACCATGGGGTATGTTGCCAGCTTTTTTCTATTTTTAGTGGTTCAAAGAAGAGAAACGAGAGCAAGAGCTGCAGAAAGCAGAAAGGAGAATGTTTTGAGGAAAAAATAAAACTGATGGGCAGTTTCATAGCTGGTGATATTGTTGAAATGCTCTGTTAAGTTATGATATGTAGAAAGTAATTGTTTTAAAATGTGAGATAATGAAAAGATGAAAATAAAGTGTTTGTAGATGGAGAGGGGAGGAAGGGGGGAAGGGAGGGCAGGCGTAAGGGGGTAGAAATGAGAATCAAGACTTGTCATGTAGAGGTACAAGATCCCGACAATGCATGTAACTGTACTGTGTCCCTAAAATGTACCAATAAACACAATGAAAGCTGAAAAAAACAAAAAAAGTAATTGTTTTAACTTTTGCATGCAGAATGCTGGTTTATCTCATGAGGCAGCGATAAGTGATTGTAGTGATAGCAAAATAAACACTAGGCTGGAAGTGGTCAGACTGGAGTCATTTCTGTTTCTGATCTCATAATAATTCCCACCTGTCAACATCTGTTTCCTCAAGTGTGAAAGTTTCTGTTCTGTTAAGACATCGTTTAAAGTGTGTCTGTTTGCTTTTCTGTTTCAGAACTTTCAATGCTGTAAATGCTCAAGCAAAACACAATTTGTGAAGTTAACTTTTCCACTCACACTGTCACCTAGAGAATAATATTTTATGGGTCAGCCATTAACAGTTACAGGGACAATTAGAGATAGGAAAGAAAAGAGAAAAATCAAGATGGCTTTGAAACACTGGCTGAGCCCTCTGATGTTTTCTCACACTGTGATTATCACCAGAGCTGTTCCTTCTAGGACTTCACGATTGGTATGCCTGCCAGGAAGAAGAGGCTGGGGAAGCAATTACACTTCTTTGATTAAAGAAAGTTTACCTTTACGGCCTGAGGCAAGGTTAGGGAATGAACATTGGCTCTGGGTCCCAGTGGAAATTCTGGAATTGCATTTAGGCTGCAGGCTGCGTTCACTGTGATCAGAGAGAGAAAAGTAATGCATGATGGAGAAAGTTAACTTTCTGCTGTCATCTCTACAGTGGCCACAGATGGACATTTTCCTAGTCAGATTCCATTCTCTGCCAAAGGAACAGGACAGGTGCCCACAACAGGCTCTGCATACATTAAGAAATTGATAAATATGAGCTCAATCAAATGGTTGAGTTTTATCCATTGTGTCATGTTCTTCACATTCAGAGGTCTGAATGGTGGATGCTGGAGCAATGGCCTCTTAAGTATGTTTAAAGGCATGAAAATAGAAGAGTCCACTCAGTTTCTTTGGAAAAAAATGGTGAACCGTGTACCAAGTCAACCAGGAGCCATCCAGTTTGAGTCAACTTGGCAGTTTTTGGTTCTCCTTTGTGGGACGATAGGAGAATATTATCACACATGATATACACATCACTGATTCTGACAAAGGCTGAGAGATATGGGGGGATGATGAAATATTTGCCCCCAATGCTCTTGCTTTACATATAAACACATAACTTTTAGGGGTTGTGTATCCTTTGTCAGAAATGCTTGGAATGTAAAATGTTTCAGAGTTTGGAGATTTTCCTATTTTGATGACATGCATAGATTTTATAGGATTTTTGAAAAATATTAATTACATCTTGATAGTATGTCAAATGATATTTTGTTACCATTATTCCTTTATTTTTATGAATGTCTTTATTCGTATGTATTTGCATTACACAATGATTGCACAGATCCGGGAGGGCTTTTACATGTACAAAACAGAAACCAAAATACAAAGAGCAAAATAAGGGAGAGGTAATAGAAATATTTCTCAAAGTGATCTTGGTATCCTTTACAGTAGTGGGTATTGAGTCCTTTGAATGCTGCAAATGATCATGTGATATATGGTTTAAATTTTGATCCAGTTATGCAACTAATCCCTCCATAGCATCTGTTGGCCCATGGGTACTCAATTGTTGCATTAATGCAATTGTTGCATTAATGTTTACAATGCATTTGGTGGTGTGAATAACTGGGAATGCATTGGGTACAGAGTGACTGTGAGTTTCACTTTCCAATGAACCTCTTCCTCTACGGACTGATGGGAAGGCTGGCACTCTTGGCTTCGTGTTGCTAGGAGCAGGATCCAGGGCCTTTCACGTGTTAGACATGTGATCTACTGCTGAGCTGAACCCCAGATGACAAGGTGACAGGCTGAGGGTGACCAGTCTCTCGGTGACAATGTAACACAGCAGGCAGATATCTTTAATGAACTCCTGAAATTTCCTATACATACACACAAGAAGATAAAAATAAAATTGTTTTGCATAAATCAGTCCTGTAGATTTAAAGGCAATCCAGTGGGTTGAATACACTTGCATTTAAAATTATTTGCTTCCCACACTGGGAGCCGCCATTGCTCAGGCACGAGGAGGGCTGCCTGGGCCCTGAACCACCACAGGAAGGATAGCCATGCCTTCCCCCACCGGTAGCCACCAGCACTCCAGCACCAGGAAGGTAGCTGCGGGGGCGCCCCTGAACACCCCACACACACATTCTCAGACCTCCTGATTGAGCCAGTCTTTGGACCCACTCTGCAGAGGCAGAGGTGGTCATAGAGGGGCATTTTCTGAGTTCCCAAAGTTGAATGTCTTCAAAGAAAGTGCATGGGAAACCTATAGTAGAACAGTGTGGAGTTCAACCGTTCAGAAGGTTGGGGAACTCAATCTGGGCCTTGCAGCCTGAGGTCAGTCTGCGACATGGGGTTCAGCCATCAGCTAACTGAGATCAGGGGTCTTGAGCCCTAGCATTGTCTGAGCCCCCATCCTAAATGGTAAATATACTATATTGAAATTTTGTTCACTGCAGACATGATCTGGACTGCTTCTTGATTTCAATTTAATTCAAATGATTTAAGGCTGATAGACTAGTGACTACCACAGGTAGTCACTTTCCAAGTTTTGCTTGATCATATTGTGTTGTTGGTTGTGATAAAGGATTGTGGTTCATTCTATAAGTGGTTTTCTCTGATGTTATGGAGATGAAAATATCTGTGGGTCATTAGAGACCCAGAAGCTAGGGTGCAACTCTATCAGGAAGATTTGGGTGATAACCCAGAGATTAAACCAAGGACACATGGACAACAAAAATAAAAATAAGA